GACAGATCAGTCCCCGGCAGTGACATTTCCCCAGTGCGAGGCGATGGGTACGCGAGGAGAAGATGGTTAACTGATGTCGTGTAATCCTTGTATCCTCTTCCCTTGTTGCTCCTTGTGGAGGGGGATTGTATCTCCTCCCCTCTCTTAACCCCCCCAAGGTCTCCTGCACTTGGCATCTGCTCAATGTCACCGACTAACTCAAAAGTGAGAACATGTAGGCTAGGTCATCCCCACCGCCAATGTAACCTGCCACTATTCATAGACTTTTGCTCTTCGGACTACTGACCGAGTGTGATATTGCACTGCACTGCCGTACTCAGACAGCCGCTAACATCGGTGTTCTCTTCATTGCCACAGCCATGCTATGCATCCGGACCGGGCCGTGCTGGACATATGGTAAAACTTGTAGATATTAGGTTCTATAGACTTCGATAACTCTTTCGGCGTGATAAATTTCCGTCGTTGCTATGCTTGATTAATCACCCGCACGCATGCGCATAACAAAAAGATATGCTCTCTAGTATCTAGGGAATACGCCGGGGGGTGGGCGGCACAAATGTATGTACCTTTTTTTTTTTCGTAAGTCCATAGTTCCTAATTGAAAGACACCACTGCTATCATCTTACCGGGATAAACAGCAGGACTGCCAGGAACGATAAGGGCGATCACGGCCCGATATCAGCTCCACCGGCAAGGTAGCCCCGCAAATCGGAGATGAAATTGTTGGTCTATCTACACCAAGGACAGAGAAAGTTAGCAATATACCGGGTCGCGAGACCTATGAGTTTCTAGTATATAAGCAATGGACTATGTCGTATAGTATAACCGCGTAGGGCCTATCAAGCGGACAAAATCTGTTCATGCGCTGAGTCGCTGACTTCCATCCTGAACGCAAACCGTGCGTATGGAAGACTGACCGCCACCTCCCAACACTCTGGGAATGGCACATCAAGTTTTCTATAGGTGGTCTGGGCTACTAGAAAGAAGCCGGTCTCGAGTCGAGCACAGAAAGAAACAGGTATGACAGTCACTATAGGAATAGAACGACCCCAGAAGCCGCTCCGGCGCTCGTAATTAAACCCAGATCCAAATAAAGTATGCGCTGCTCATGATTTGGCCTCTCTCGGGGGTTGTAAGAGAAACTGCAAATGAAAAATTTCCCGTAACCACTGAGGCGACAGGAGACTGGCCACGGATACATTTTAGTTTTAACTCGGATATTGTAGCTGCTCTATCGTTTTTTCTTCAAAAGAGAAAGGTAAAACAAAATATGTGCCTTCTTACCATCCGCTTCTAGGGCTGTGGAGTGTGACCTGAGGCTTTCCTTGATAAATACGATTTCCCCGGTAAATAAACATTTTCAAGGGAGGAAGGTTGGTTCTCGTGGATAGGGAACATTTCGATGGTATCTCAGGACGCAAGGGAGAGACGTTGGACAAGTAGCGGGGGTGGAAGGTTGACACTCCAGTAAAGACCGTTTTCTCTCCCTAGGGGGTAGGTAGACCTTGATTTGCCTCGCAGCGTACTACATTTACACCTGAATGGTCCTTTGACTAGGTATCCTGGACAGCACAGCTTCGAACGATGTCAAGTAAGACCGGAAGACGGGGACTTTTGTACCGCCAAAAGAAGAATAGAAACGCCTACGCTAAACTTGCAAAATTCGCGTTCAAAGGTAGGGCTAGCTGGGGACTGGTTTCGATCGCAAATCGATTCATGATATCCCACCGCCGCCAAGGATACCCCATTCAAGCCGAGAATCAATGGTGATGAAGCTCGGATGAGCCCTCAGTCTGATCAATCGCTGCATTTTGCGTGAGAGGTACAATCAGGTATGTGACGTCGTGGATTAGGTAGGTAAGAGAATACCGCTAGGCGACTGGAAAGGAGTGTGGTGTGCAAAGGGAGCGAGGTTAGACCACAATTGCGATATCATGCTCTACCCACAATCTAGACCTTCGAAATAGCCCACTGCAGATGTTCTTGAGACAGGGGACGGCGAATTCACGGACCAAAGCAATTTGTGGCTGCTTCTTCCTGCCTGAATTGAGCAGTGTGATTGGAAGTTGTGGCGTCTTGGCTCCATCCAGCTGCATGACTATTAGAAAATAGTCAACTTGTCTTGGCTGCAGAATTGCTTCCGGAAATTTAACCTGGTGATTACTTCCCAGCATTGGCTGATGCTCCGCACCTTTAATTCTGGTTCACGTCCGTCGGGTGATGCCTTGAAGCACGAACGAGCCGAACCCTTCCGCTGCTACCATACTCGGGTTATTATAAAAGAACTCGCGGTTCATCGTCCCTGCTGGAGGGATTATCTTCGCACCAGCGAACAAAAGTCGAAGCAAGCAAGATGGTGTCTTTCTCCTCTTGTCTCCGGGCCTTGGCCCTCGGGTCCTCAGTTCTCGCGCTCCAACCTGTCCTTAGACAGGACACAGGTCTCGATACCTGGCTCAACACGGAAGCAAATTTCTCTCGTCAGGCGATCCTGAATAATATTGGCGCAGATGGCCAGTCGGTGCAGGGCGCAAGCGCAGGGGTGGTGATTGCAAGCCCGAGCAAAAGCGACCCAGATTGTATGCGACTTGGCCTGGCGGCAATACTTCATTTGACTTACTGGCCATAGATTTCTATACCTGGACCCGTGACTCAGGTCTCGTCATGAAAACCCTCGTCGATCTGTTCAGAGGCGGCGATGCCGACCTTCTCCCTATCATCGAGGAGTTCATTAGCTCGCAGGCTCGCATCCAAGGCGTTTCCAACCCGTCTGGTGCTCTGTCTGGTGGGGGCTTGGGAGAGCCCAAGTTTAATGCCGATGAGACGGCATTCACAGGCGCATGGGGTCGGCCGCAGCGTGATGGACCAGCTTTGCGAGCGACCGCTATGATCTCATTTGGAGAATGGCTAATTGTAAGTTTGATTCCTCTTCGCAATGGGGGTTTAGCTTACTCTGTAGGAAAATGGGTATACAAGCATAGCAGCGGACCTGGTTTGGCCTGTGGTTCGGAATGATCTATCCTATGTGGCCCAATATTGGAGCCAATCCGGGTTCGGTGAGTTGTCAGAGAGATGGCCCGCAGCTCTCAGTAGCTAACGTTCACAGACCTCTGGGAGGAAGTCCAGGGAATGTCCTTCTTTACTGTCGCGGTTTCTCATCGCGCGTTGGTGGAAGGCAGCAGCTTCGCCAAGGCTGTCGGTTCCTCGTGCTCCTATTGTGACTCGCAAGCGCCCCAAGTCCGATGTTATTTGCAATCCTTCTGGACCGGGAGTTACATTCAAGCTAATTTTGGTGGCGGGCGATCCGGCAAAGACATCAATACCGTCCTGGGGAGTATCCACACGTTCGATCCCCAGGCGACGTGTGACGATGCTACCTTCCAGCCTTGTTCGGCGCGAGCCTTAGCCAACCATAAGTCGGTCACGGACTCATTTCGCTCGATCTATGCCATAAACTCCGGTCGCACGGAGAACCAAGCGGTTGCTGTTGGTCGCTACCCTGAAGACAGCTATTACAGCGGGAATCCCTGGTTCCTGACTACCTTGGCCGCTGCAGAGCAGTTGTATGACGCGTTGTACCAGTGGGATCATATTGGATCGTTAGCCATCACGGACGTTTCTCTGCCATTCTTCAAAGCCCTGTACAGTTCTGCCGCGACAGGGACCTACGCATCGTCCACGACGGTATACAAAGAGATTGTCAAGGCCGTCAAAACCTATGCAGACGGATATGTGCAGATCGTCGTACGTCAAGACCCCCCTTCCCTCTACTTATTTTTATTTTTCAGGACTAATTGCTGATGACCCCAGCAAACCTACGCCACCTCTACCGGCTCAATGGCCGAGCAATTTACCAAGACGGATGGAACTCAGACCTCCGCCCGGGACCTTACCTGGTCATACGCGGCACTTCTGACAGCTCATCACCGAAGAAACGCGGTCGTTCCTGCACCGTGGGGCGAGACCACTGCCACCAGCATTCCGTCGGCGTGCTCCACGACTTCCGCCTCAGGCACCTACAGCAGCGTGGTCATTACAGCTTGGCCGACCATTAGTGGATATCCAGGCGCGCCAGATACTCCCTGCCAACAGCCGACAACTGTGTCGGTGACCTTTGATGTGAAGGCCACTACTGTCTACGGGGAATCGATCAAGATCGTGGGGTCGATCTCTCAGCTTGGGAGCTGGAGTCCCAGTAGCGCGATCGCATTGAACGCGGATAGATACACTACTGACAATCCCCTGTGGACGGGGACAGTGAACTTGCCCGCTGGACAGTCATTCGAGTACAAGTTTATTCGCGTTCAGAATGGCGCGGTTACGTGGGAGAGTGACCCTAACCGGGAATACACTGTTCCCTCGGCTTGCGGCGTGAAGAGTGCTGTTCAGAGCGATGTTTGGCGGTGATTATCATCTTGGGGTGACGATGAGGAATCGCTACATGGCATTTGTGATGTGACGCTATACTATACTAACCAGTACTACGTTCGTTTTCTTATATAGAAACTCAAGGCCAGTGGGCGCAAGAGAGGGCCGCCTATTCGTACACAATGGAGACAAGATATTGTTAGTGCCCGTTGGAATCTCATGATATAGAGCTTGTGAAGCAGTACCTACACAGATGTATCCGACTATCCTTAGACCCTCCCCGAGTGACTTTACTCGATGGTCTTTCAGGAAAAGCTCAATACTTTTTTTTTCTTTTTTTTTAGGTTTATAATAATGACTAAGACTATATATAAGGTCCTGGTCCATGTTCCGAATCCTAGTCATTTCCTTCGTCGTGTACAGGCTTCGCTTCAAATAATGACAGCGTCGGTAAGACTAGGCAAGGCTCCCCCGTTTTTCTTATATCGCTTCTCCATCTTTGTCTTTCTCTCCAAGAACTGACGGTCATATACATATCAAGAGATCTTATATATCAAGAAGTCCTCCGGATCATAGTGCTAAGCATGCAAGGGCGGCTGGTAACCCCATTGTAGTCTGACGAGGCAGCGATACACTCAATAGTTGATCATTTCGAATAAAGTGTGGTCCACAGTTTGTCCATCCGAAGAAACTGAAGTTGAGATTGAATGGTGGCAAGGAAAAGTCTCTGCAAACCCCTGCGAGTCACACTGAGAACCACCCGCCTCGGGGTATGCCGTAGTCTTAGTAGTTGAGTGTTGTTTGGGTCCTGCTGCAAAGGAAGATGAAGACAGCCGCGGGTCTATTGGATGAGGACTAGCAGAGTCGTCTGTATGTTCCTCTGAGATTTTTCTAACCCTCTGCGCAAGATATCGCTTGATTGGCTCGTCATCGCACTGTGCGTGTTTCAGTATCTCGCTGTGGAGGTCCAGCATTGCATAGCGAAGTTGTTCAATTTGCATCCGGAGCTCACTATTCCTCCAGGCATGCGCATCGGCAAGGAATTCGATTTCCTCTACCACCAGCTTCTTCCGCTGACGGCATCGTTTGGCAGCTTGGCGGTTACGCTGGAGGATCTTGTCTCGTCTTGCCTTCCAATCTTTGTTTATCTTGTCGTGATTTGTAAATGTGTGTGAAGGCTCCTTTGCATCTGGCTCCGGAACGGCCGTGTTTTGTGCACTTCCTTTCAGCTCGCCATTGATCGAGTGGGTGGTTGTGTGAACGGGTAAAGTCGCCCCTGCCAGAGGCATCGCATTCAAAACCGGCTGTGGACGTGCGAGGCTTGACTGGTCTGCATTGCACATGGCAAAGGGAGTGGGGTTGCTATATTTAGGCCATGCCTCGTACGGATTGATGTTCTCCAAGCTCGGCTGCTGACGCTCATTTGTGGGGTGTTTGAAGCAGGATGATAGCTGTGGGAAAGTAGGAGCCAGGTCCCATAGAAACGGTGATTGTACCACGGTGATTGAAGTCATATTAATAAGTGGAGAACACCAACGCAACTAGTGTTACCTGATGGAAATTGCTCAAATCCATGCACATAATATATCCATCCCAGGGGCAGTGAAGAGATACATATGGAATGGGCGGAGATCTGTGCTTTTGCGAGTTGCAGATCATCGATATCAGCCGAGCTAGAGCACATTTATGTCTTCCGCACTTGAAGGCAGATATGCAGCCTAACCCATATCATACCACCCTTACTTATTCTGATGTCATTCTGGAGCGAATAGGAGGTTGCCGGGGATTGCTTCTAACGCAATCATATTCAGTGCAGCCCTGCCTGTCCCATTTTAGCTTTCATGCCCGTGATATTTGCTTCCGAGGTGCTTATTTCGTGAGGTTATTCGTGAGCTGATTGACAAGTTGAAAAGAATTAACTCGTCGGGGTGCAGAAGCGCTGACCGGCTATTGATCCTGATTCGTGGCTTTTCCCATTCCAAAAAACAAAAGCCGGTCTCCAAGAGACGCATATCCTTTGCATCCCTGATATAGTATCAGAACCATGGTCCATGCAAGAATGTTGCTTATATGGCTGGGTCAACGCTGGAGATCACCTTGTTGTTCGCTGGAACTTAGCTTTAACACAGTGACCTATTGCCTTTTATAGGGTTTTGCATGGGACTCCGCAGGAACCCAGCGGGTTGATCCTTTGGGTCCTAGTGAAACCGGTCACTGATTGGCTTTGCTTGACTCTGCGTCCTTTTTCCAGAACTGCTGGCCAGAGAAAGAGTTCAATAACGCCCCCTGGGTGTTGCTTATTTAACCGTCCATTTGCCAGCAAAGTGACATTACCAACAACTGAGGTAACTTGTCGCCTGGAAGACCCTGGAAAGCGCCAAAGAAACAAAATAAAGTTCGATCCCTGGCAAGTTGCCTATTGTTTATTGTAGACCAGACTTTTGACCCTCCGGGGTGACTTCGTTGTGATGTAAGCGGTTATGAGCAAGCTACCGTCCCAAGGTCAGCGTCTTATGTCAGTCCCAAGGCTTTTCCATGGACCGAATTCAAGCTTGGAGAGAGGTCAGATGCGAACGCGGGGCTCTAGAGGACCTACCTCCTCTTCACGTTTCCATTGAAAGCTTTAGAATAGACCTTAGCCATCGTTCTCAGGGTCGATGTTAGGTCAATGCCCTGTCTCGGGCTAATGAGGCATTTCTTCCTCTGTCTGATCAACAGCCAGGCATGAGAGCTGCTACGCTATGTGGCGCCCTAAGATCCATGAGTGTAACCGTCCAATCCCGAGGGCAAACCAAAGTTATCTCAGTCGGCTATCATATGTCAGGAGGTCGCGGAGCCTTGACGTTTGGTCTTTGTTATGTAAAGGCTCTGTTGTACTAGTAGGAAGGGGGGTAAGGTCGGTAGCATTTATTCGCTGCTTTTCGTGGCCAGTATTCAATTAGAAGAAGAAAGGAAATGACATTTCGGAAGCCGTAAGACATGACTATAAACGGGAAAGAATCACAACATATAACTCGAAGATCTATATATACATTTATTGCAATTTCTTCTCCCCCAGAAACTCCATATCCTCATCGATTGGACCCGTCTTTGCAAACTTGATATCATCGAGATAATTATCTCTTGGCAGCCACGGTCCCCTGTCCGCTGCCTTGGGGAGATCCCGCTCTGCCTTGGTCACGTAGGTAGAATTGAGGTTCAACAAACGACGTGGTTGCATCTCTTTGGCAGTGGCGGGGCTTAACCGTGGCACGGCTGCCTGGACGCCTCGTTGCTCCAACTCTTGAAGCAGTCGGCAGAGAAACTGCGCGGTTGCGTCGGCGCCCAAAGTCCAGGAGGCGTTGGTATAACCGATGACGAAGGCGGCATTGGGAACGTCTTGCAACATGATTCCGTGCCAGATATACTTCTCAGAAACATATTGAGGAATTCCATCAACGGTGACCGAGGCTCCGCCCGCAATCTGCAACTTCAGCCCGGTGGCCGTAATGATCAGATCCGCGTCCAACTTCTCTCCAGAGTTCAGGACGATCCCGGATGCCGTGACCTCGCGGATGGTGTCGGTCTTGACATCTGCACGACCGGTATGCAAGCTCTTAAAGAAGTCCCCATCAGGACATACGCACAGACGTTGGTCCCATGGGTTGTACCGTGGGCGGAAGTGCGGGTCGTGTGGAATGTGAGAGGGCAGCTGGCGGGAGACGGACAGACGCAGGATGAAGCGGGCGAGGGTTGGGAAGGCTTGACAGAAAAGGAAGAAAAAGCGCGAAGTGAGCAGCCAGCTCAGACGCTGGATTTTGCGATCGAGAGCCACCGGGAGAATATAGCTCCACCACGAACGGCGCCGGTTCGGGAGAGAAAGAATATAGGTGGGACTGCGCTGGAGCATGGTAACATGCTTGGCCTTCTGGGCAAGGTTGGGAAGCAGAGTCACAGCGGTGGCTCCACTGCCAATGATGACCACTTTCTTGTCGCTATAGTCCAGGTCCTCGGGCCAGAACTGTGGGTGGATGATCTGTCCCTGAAATTGATCTAGCCCAGGGATTTCGGCTTGCAAAGGCGTATGATAGTCATAATAGCCCGTGCCGAATATGATAAACCGGGCCGAGAATGACTTGGACTGTCCCTCGTGTTCGACACTCAGTGACCAGGTGTTCTCTTCCGAAGACCAATCAGCGCCTAGCAGGCGATGTTCGAAGAGTATGTGCTTTTTCACGCCATGTTTCTCAGCCGCGTTGTTCATATATTTCACGATAGAGGGTCCGTCGGCGATGGGGTTCCCCTGGTCCCATGGATGCCAGGAAAATCCAAAAGTGAAGAGATCCGAGTCCGAGCGAATCCCAGGATATTTGAAGAGATCCCAGGTGCCACCCAGGTTGTTCCGGGCTTCGAGGATAGTATAGCGAAGCTTAGGGTTTTGAGACTGCAAGCGATAAGCGGCGTTGATGCCGGAGATACCGGCACCAATGATAATAACATCAAAAGATTGCTCCATATCCACGAAGTTCTTTAAAGTGGCAGAGAGATCCACAGGAACTCCATGGTCCGATTTATATGCTCTGGAGACGCGGTAGGATATATCTGCCAAACGGGTTCACATGCCTCGGTTGTCCATTTCCGAAACGAGAAATCGTCGCGAGCTTCAGAAATGAGGAGAGGCGACCGCGGGGGTTTATATTATAAAAGCTTTTCGGCAGTGACTTTGCGAGGATCGTCCGAACCGACAGTCTGGGGAAGAGGCCGAGGATCTGAATTCGACCCTAATGTCTGCCGGGCCAGAAGATCGTCTGTGGGGTCTATCCTTAACCCAATTCAGTAATCGTTGCGATCCTCCACATGAAGACACGAGGCGCAATGCTCCCCTTCCAAAGGGGCTTTTGCCTCGTATATTTTTTTTGCAATAAATATAGAGGACGTGGTGCTACAAGGTACATGGATCATACGACGGGTATGACAGGCTACCACCAACAGCAATCTAGCCAACATGCTCAACACTGCCATCCCCCTTTCCTTCGCGGAGAAACTTGACTTTCTTCCCGCTCTGGTGTCACTTTGCCTCACTGTCGTGTGGGCAATGTTCACGGGACTATGGCGTTCATCGTCTTATCCCAAGAGTTGGCTCCTACATGTCGGATATGCGGCGTTCCGGAAAGCAACCAGTCGACTGTCCGTTGCGCAAATGCAGTAAGCAGTTTCCATTTGACGTCTATCGGGCGTGACGATCGCTAACCGCACAGATATGTGATGCCCCCCACAAATAAGATCTATGACCAGTACGTGCGCAAGGCCAGAAAAGTAGCAGACACTGTCGACTTGGGGCATGGCGCACTGGGCCATTGGATCGGAGACCGCAATGCTGATCGTGTCTTGATTTGGTACCACGGTATGTTGTACGACCGCACATTCATCATCCTCTACCGGTTATACATGCTAACGGTCACAGGCGGTGGATTTGCTCTCCCAGCGAACCTGGGCTATTTCCGGTTCTTCACTCGCCTGATCGCGGACAGTGCCCGTGCCAATAAATCCTTGGCGGTTTTCAGTCTAACATACACATTGGCCCCCCATGCAACATATCCCACACAGATTCGGCAGGCCGTAGAAGCCCTGCGCTATGTGGTTGACCAGACCAAATTCTCACCAGGCCACATCCTCTTGGGAGGTGATTCGGCAGGAGGGAACCTTGTCGGCGGCGTCTTGTCCCACTTGGCTCATCCCCATCCTGCAATCGCCCCGGTGGACCTATCCGAACACCTCCGTGGCGCAATCATGATCGCTCCGTGGACCTCCATGGAGACCGACTTTTCGGGACAAGAGATCGATTCTCGGGGGGATTTGATCACGCCAGCAGTAGCAGGACCATGGGCCAGCGCCTACCTGGGTACCGCCAAGCGCGATTACTATACCGATTTATCTACTGCGCCGGCAGACTGGTACTCCTCGTTTCCGGTGCAGAAGATTTTAGTTTGTGCTGGAGGAAGCGAGATTCTTTTCCCGATTATCCAAGAATTCGTGAAGAAATTAAAGGTAAGCATGTTAGCCTGCGTGAACAACGCGATGTCTTTGTCTAACCTGAGCAGGAGGGCTTCCCAGACGTGGAGTTGTGTGTTGGCCAGCGGGAGGGTCATGTCGCGCCGATCTACAACTTGTATATCGGGGATCAGACTGAGACGGAGCAGGGGAAGAGAGTCAAGAGCTGGTTGAGAGAGACCTTGTAGATACGGCTGGAACGTTTACGATTTCTATATATATTTCTATACAACTTCACAAGAGCGAACACCCTCATGAATCATTTTACGGAGTATATTTGGTTTCTGAACGTGTAACACTTGCATTCTTATACTACAACGTGTCTTAACTACGAAATGTCCACTTCGCTGCCTAAAATGCGATCCATGATTCCGATATATATACGATCTTGAAGGATACTCTGTCCACAGTTATAGTTTGCGAATACTACGCTCTCGATGCTGCAAATCCCAATATTTTATATAGATAGTGATATTAGTATGTCTAGCTTACTGAATATACATAACATGAACACATTGAATTAATCCAGGGGTCATTTACATGCCCTTAGCCTCCTGTACGTCCCGCAAAACCCTCAAATCCTTTGACCCTTTTCCGCGAGCAACCTCCTGCAACCAGGAAGGGAATGCCCTGATCAGGCTAATCGCGCTAAAGTGATTCGGTATGATAACTTGCCCGCTGCTCTGGGTGAGAATCTGTTTCACAACAGCAGCAGATATCATTTCCGGCGTGAGGATGGGCCCTTTGAACTGGTGACCCACGTCGGTCAATATCTGAATCATTGGGGTTTTAACCCAGTGAGGGTGAATGACACTGCACTGATTAGCACCTTTCGCGGAACTCCAAATGCATTCAGAAAAGGAAAAGAAAGAAAGAGAACACAGGAGAGAACATACCTAGTCCGAACTTTAGGAGCCTTATACCAGAGTCGCAATTCCTGACCCAATCCCTCGTGGAATGCCAACGCACTCGCCTTTGAACAACAGTAATCGACCATCTCACCTAACGCCACAAAACTGGCCATGCTAGCGATTGTAATGACATGACCATGATTTTGCTTGATCATGCTGGGCAGGAACTCGCGCACCATCAGGAAATGCGACACTGTGTTGACCTCGAAGGTTTGTCTAATCTTGGCCTCTGGCTCGTCAAGGATGGATCCGTCGTGTCCGACGCCCGCATTATTGACCAGCACTGTGGGATCACCGTGCGCTGCACGGATCTTCTCCGCTACATTGCGAATGTTCTCTGACGAGGTGATATCCGCTTTGTAGAAGGTGACGTTGGATGCTACAGTGTATTAGCTTGGGTACTCTCGGTTGTCCCTTAGAGCAGTCAGGGGGCGTACGCAGTTGGAAGGATGGCTCTTGGATATCTAGTATCACTACTCGAACCCCAGCCTTTGCGAGATCTTCCATAATTTGCCTGCCAATGCCACTGCATCCGCCAGTGACCAAAACCAGCTCGCGCTCATTTTGCCAAGGTTTGGCGCGTTGCCAGTTATTCGCTGTCCAGTAACCCAGCGAGCGGTTGGCCTTGCGTATCACGCCCAAAGCCAGGAGTGCTGCTAACGCCTTGGGTACTAATGGATGAAGTAGCACATCTTGTGTCTGAGGGGGAAGGTGCTCAAGGGCCGTCTGGCCCCAGTGGCGGAGCAGTTGGAAGGATTGATCAAGAGACATGGTTACAGAACTAGATAATGATATTAACAAGAACGGGCGCTTAGAAGTAGGATTCCGGTTCTTTATTGTTGTATGTATGTATGTATATATAAGTGTTATACAGAATAGAAGTATAAACGAGCCCAGGATCAATGACCGAGGTACTCACATGGTGTAAGAAGCTTCAAAGCGTCTGGTTTCCTGGGCTTTTCTTTTTTGGTGCGACGATATTTGCCCCTTGCGGCAAGGGTTGCGAACGCCGATCCGCCCCAAGTGGAGAACAGAAATCACCGATGAATCCCTGAGTCGCTCGCAAAGCGGCACCCAACCATGTTCGCGAAGATTACCCTCCCGGACAACCATGTCAAAAATGGTCCCTGTACATCATGGTTGGGGTTCACATGGAGGGAGCAGGGGGCTTTTGGGGCTTGGGCGATCATGAGATCATCATCTCGGGGAGAGATGCCCAGGAATGCCTTCTGCATCCTGCATTACCTGGGGTCTGCATGTAACGGCTTTTCTTCTAGAATCAAGCGTCTATCGCTGATTATGTCTTTCTAGGGTTGAAGTACGTACACGACGAACGCAGCAGAGTCACAGGATTAGGGCTCGCTGGGTCTTGCATTCGTCAGTTCCAGACATGACTTGAGAAACCCCCAACATGAAAATATCGCTTTGGCTTATCCAACCAGGCATCCACGTCGGCCCATGGCTTACGGAGTATACTGTGTAGTCAATAGTAATTCTTACGGTGCTAGATATCAGGCACCGGCGTTATCATGCGACCCTCCAACCGAGGTCAACATGTCGATCCGTGGGGTCATTTAGTTTAGAAGCGTTAGCTGTCCTCATCCAGTGGACACACGATATATTCTTTCCCCTTACCCCAGATTGTTGGGCTCCTGAGCTTGCTGTCTTGCCATCGTCGCTTCAGGGATTTGCGCTCCACCATGGACCTGATGCTGACCCTTATTACGCTTTCTCTCCTCGAAGGTTTCCTGCTGCAGCGCACGGTCTTCGTGGATCTCACCTTCCGTACTGTTACGTTGGGCTCATTGGGAGTTAATCTTCTGCTCGTAGCCATCTGGAACACCTTGATCTATCCTTATTTTGTCACTCCATTGCGCCATCTCCCAACAATCTCGGTAGCTCACCTCGCTCATCACCAGGTCTTGGAACCAGTAGCTAATGAAAATAGGGCAACCTCAACAATGCCCGTATTGTTTTTGACGATCCCCGCGGCCGGTTACCGCTGGAGTGGATGAAGACTGTTCCTAACGACGGCCTGATCCACTTCCGCGATATTGTCAATCGTAGCTATCTCCTGGCTACCAACCACCAGGCCTTGCTCGATATCATGAGCACCAATACCTACGACTTTGAAAAGCCCTGGCGGGCACGCGACTTCCTCGCCCGTATTATAGGTTTTGGACTAATTCTGTCCGAGGGCAGTGCGCACAAAAAGCAGCGCCGCGCTCTGACCCCCTCTTTCAATGTGAAGAATATTAGAGCATTATACTCATTGATGTGGGAGAAAACTGGGCTCTTGATGGATGAGCTGGAGAAAGAGATCGAACAGAATCCGATGGATGGCACTAATGCAGAGAGCGGAGAAGGAAAGATTGAGATGAGTGTCTGGGCAAGGTATTCTTCCGGCCAGATATTGTGATGAGTACACCCCACTGACACATATTAGCCGTCTCACACTGGATATAATCGGGCCGGCCGCCATGGGTCGCGATTTCCGCTCTCTGCACAACCCCGAAAATAAAGTGGCTGACAGTTTCTTGGCCATCCTGGAACCGACTAAGGAGAAGATGGCCTTTTTGGCCGTCAACTTTGCTCTGCCACAATGGTTTGCCCGTCGCATCCCCTGGCGCTTGAACAAAGTCATCAATGATGAGACCGGGTTTCTGCGGGAGCTGTGCAGAGACATTGTTCATGAGAAGCGGGCATCCATCACAGCTACGAAGGCAACGGCCAAGGAACTGGAGGCCGATATTCTTGGTACCATGATGTTGGGCGGCGATTTCACAGACGACGAGTTGATCGACCAAATGTTGACCTTCTTAGCTGCTGGGGTATATATCTATCTGCCCCTATTTTGAACACAATGCCACGTGAAACTAACATCGTTTGCAGCATGAAACCACGGCGAGTGCCTTTACCTGGGCCTGCTATCTTCTCACCCTTCATCCTGATGTCCAGGAACGCCTTCGTGCCGAAATCCGTGAGCACATCCCAGCCGGCAACGATCCCATCACCTGGAGCGACCTCGAGACGCTTCCGCTTCTCAACGGTGTGTGTCAGGAAGTCCTCCGTCTGTATCCAACTGTTCCCATGACTATACGCGAAGCCGTTCGTGACAGCGTGGTAGCTGGCAAACACATCCCAAGAGGGACCCGGATCCTTCTGTGCCCCTACGCCATCAACCGCAGCCCAGAATTCTGGGGCAACGACGGAGAAGAATTCCGGCCGGAGCGATGGATCGACACGGACAAGAATGGTCAGCCTGTCACCAACAACAACGGCGGAGCGTCGACAAACTTTGCACAGATCACTTTTCTCCACGGACAGCGCTCATGTATTGGGAAGGATTTCGCCCGGGCTGAATTGCGTTGTGCAGTCGCTGGTGTCGTTGGCCGTTTCCGTTTCGAGATGCAGGACCCTAAGCAGAAAATTCATATCGCAGGTGCTGTGACGACTAAGCCGGTGGAGGGGATGCATTTAAGGATGAGTAGGGTGGATGACTGGTGATATGCCTTTTTCTTTGTCATGTGTTAATGATATGCTACGATATATGGTTTGTGTTCATGGTTGTATAGGGCAGCTGAGCTGCATCTTAATGTTATTTATATCTATGTTTTTATTCCCTTTCTGTGGGAGTGGGTATGATTATGAGAATGACCATGCCCTAAGTGCTCACTGATGCGGTGCTTCCCTCTTACCGGCTCAGGCTCATCCTCCTCCTCCTCCTCCTCCTCCTCCTCCAAGGAAGGCCATTCCTCCCATCCATCTTCCCACGTCTGCATCATCTTCTCCTGTTTCTCGCCTCTGGATAATCTCTTCTTCTTCATAATGCCCTCCCATGTTTTCATTTCCCGATCGTTCAACAAGCATTCGTTTAGCAAGTCGGTAATGGCATCCGTTTCAATCCCTTCCCCAATGAACACGATCTCTTGCCGCCGATCTCCCCATGGCCCCTGAAAGTCATCCTCGATGGATTTCCTCACATCTGCATCTTCCGGCCATGCCTCGTCTGGTACCTCGGCAAACCAAGGTCCACCACACCCAATGGTGAGCATGCCCCCGGCTTGGCTCCATTCACCAAATTGATAAGGGCGAGTAGCAAGCCAGAAGAAGCCTTTGGAGCGTAAAATGGGACGAAGGACAGGGTGGGAGCGTTTGTTTGCAAGAATTTCCTGGGGGTCTGGCTGGGGGAAATCTTCCATTTCGTCATCTTCATCCTCGTCCTCATCCTCATCCTCAGGTTCATCGCCGTTATCGTCTTCCTCGCTTCCATCATCCTCTTGTGTTTCAACATTTTGGAGGACAATAAATTTATCATGTATTAAACTGAAGAGTCGCCGCGGATGGAATGGGCGGCGCGCTTTGTACACGAAATTGTTGATGCCGTACCTGTTTGATCGTTAGTCTTGACGAATAGAACGGAAAGGAGTGAGAGAAAGCCTCATACTCAACGGTCTCGGGAACAGGAGCCAGTCTTTCCCCATTGCCAGTTTCCCTCTTGGTCATCTCGTGCAAGCTCCTCAACCACCCGGCACCTGATGCCGCTTTGAGAAAGTTGAACCTTCCCGTGTCCAATATCTCATTGACATCGACCTTTGAATAGCTTGTTTCAAGGACCTTGGCGTCTGGGTTAAGGAGCTTTAGGATAGACCGGATCCTCCCGCGAGTCTTCTCGTCAACAGTCTCGATTTTGTTGATGATAATTACGTCCGCGAATTCGATCTGATCCACCATCAGATCAGAAATGGTTCTTTCGTCTTCAGGAATAATATCCCCGCCATAGCGATCGGAGAGAAATTCCGCCGTGTCAAAACTGGTAAGGAGGTTAAAGGCGTCAATAACGGTAACGGTCGTGTCAAGTTTGGCTAGTTTATGCAGACCTCCTAATTCGACGCTATCGCCAGGTTAGTCCACTCATCTATGACTGTACAAATGGAGGATGCGGGGAATAGATACATCTGGCTCAGGATCTTCTTCCCCTCTTCGTCAGCAACGTCTGCTTCTAACATGGCAGCGCTGAACTCCGCCGTGAAAGTCTCGGCGACCTGCATTGGCTCGCTAATCCCTGTGCTCTCAATCACGACATACTGCACGTCGTCCTGCTTTGTAAGTCGGGCGAGTTCTTCCAGAAGGTCCCCACGTAATGTGCAGCAGATACATCCATTCTGTAGCTGAATGAGATTTTCCTTGGTTTGGGACACGTGGTGGTTTTTGATGAGGGTTGCGTCTATGTTTAGACTGTATGTTTGTTAGAATAGGTTCATGCCCTTCTTGATAGCGGCATCCATTGTGATACTGGGTTAAGGGCATACCTGCTCATGTCATTAACAACGACTGCAATCTTAAATCCATGATCTGACTGGAGAATATGTTCCAGAAGCGTTGTCTTTCCACTACCCTGTTTGCTCCATCATTAGCCTCTTCCTTGGGACACGTTAAGGGGTAGTCTATGCTCGTCGTACCAGAAACCCCGAGAGGAGTGTGACTGGAAGTTGTCGGCGTCCCTTGGCTCCATTGATGTTGTCGGGCACAGGAAAGGCGATGGTTTCTGGGCCTGAATTGATCGTCATCCTGGTAGGCTATCAAATAATCTTGTAGCATAGGACTAAAATCAGAAAAGTACTAAGAAAGTAAAAGAAGGAGAAGGCTCTCAATCACCAGATCCTATGCACAAAGGCTTATATACTGGTATACATACTCACCCCCAAGGTTCACAGCTATACATAGAGAGATAATTTATAATCGCGCTTTCGATTGGTCCACCAGGCAAGGTCTCCATTCCGACCCCAAAGGTACTCCATCCGTGCCCTGAAAAGCGTCCTACAAGGTACCTGGATTCGCAAGGACCACAAGGTCCTCTCCACTAACCGACCACCTGCAAGTATTAATGAACAACTGATGACGGAACAGCTTTGTTGTCATTGCCATTGGCTCCGGCAGTCTCTATACGTGGTAGTTATCGCATGGACGTTCGAAAGAGAGCGGGACATGTACCTTGCGGGAACGGTCATCCACCAAGTAAGGGCAAGAGCAACTGAGTTGCATCAAAGCGACATGAAAGTGGGGAGGAGAAGGTGGAAAGACATACTAGTTAAGGAGAGGGAGACAACACAAAAGGCCGGGAACGAAAGGAAAGGTAGTCAATAATACTTGGTCTGAGAGTCATATTCTTGGCATGGCTAGTCTACACTTCAGTCGGTTGAGGCCTGACATTCTACCCCAATGTCTCCTTGGACGCCTTCACAGATGATCTCTGGTGGACTCCCAGAAGGACTTGTCAGGTCAATGTTCTTCAGTTGAATGTCTGAGCACACCGCATTTGGCGAACACACAAGGTCGGCCACCACCTTTCCATTCTTCCCGGACGATGTCCCCGAGATATTCTCGAAGAGAATGTTGGTCACATTCACCTGGGAGGGATACTGGGCGCATTCTGCTGCCTCAATATCGAAGTAACATTGATCTAGGACCACTGGGGCGTCCGTATTCTCGATATGGATATTTTTGTACGTGATGTTGTTGATTCGACCATAACCCACGTCCTGGCCAGCCCACGCTTTAAGGCGCGCACCATTCTGTCGCTATTAGTGATGGCATCGCACGAAGTCCCGTCAAGCCAGACTTACCTGACCATTCAATAAGGTTACATTCTCAATGTACGCGTGCTCGATGATGTCCATTACCCCTGGATACTGCCCAATACTACCCATGCTAACCCCATGGGTATTATTACACCACAGGTTTTGCACAAAGATATTGGTGGTGTTTGGCTTAGGCGAGAAGCAATCATCTCCAACGTCGACCCGCGTATTTGTAACCTTCAGCCCGTCCACATTAAGTGAGTCGAAGCCGTCGCTATTTTTAGGTTCAGCCTACCCTACCAGTTAGTAAACAAGACCGGTGGATCGCGAGAGGAGAAGAGAGATAGAGAGACTTACGGATTTATTCGTAGAAAATGCATGGATGTAAACGTCATCGAATGAGACGTCGTTTGACTGGACGAAAAAGTTGGTCCAGCAAGGCGAGTTCAGTTGGGTGATGCCTTCAACAGAAATCCGGGTAGCGTTTTCAGTCAGGAAGAGGATTGGACGATAATAGTCATTGTCGGGATTCTAATACCATTAGTGAAGGCCACTTAATCCTCATGTTTTTCACGGGCTGTACCAGAATCTCCTGTCCTGCAAACTCGTTGTACCATCTCTGGCCGTTTCCGTTCAACAAACCAGTTCCAAAGATCTTGATGTCCTTTCCACCCCACCGCCAAAACGTTATGGACTTCTGGAAATCATAATAGAAATTGTTTTCTTGCCAGTAGGATACATCATCCGTGAACTGTTACATCAGCGAGCTTGCTACAGAACATGGCTTCAGGCATCGAAGAATACATACCTTCAACTCTCCATCCAGTTGCACCTCAATGTCATCTAAGAATGTCAGGTCAAGTTTTCTACCAATCACATACTTCTCCCCTTTCTTGAGAAGAAGTCGTCCCCCGTGATTAGCATGCTTGATACCCCAAAGGAAGTCCCTCGATACATCATCGGTATCGTTCCGGGAGGGTCGAATGGTTATCGTGCGACGGTCATGATACTTGGCATGGTGGCCGCCAACACGCTCCAAGGCCCTTGTGTCGCTCTCGGGGATGATCTGCGCTCCAGGAATAAGCTGGCCAACCGCAATGCTGCTCACTGCGCTCGCAAAGAGCGTTGCAAGGAAGAATTTCATGTTGTTGTCAATTGATGCGATCCGTGCAGCTCAATAGTTGTGCACCCTTAACGTCCGGGGACAAGTCCCTTTTAAATAAGGCTCATCACGCCAGTCGCATCTATCGCTCAAATCACCAAGCAAATCAAATCCCTAGGAACCCGACAAGAAGTTTCTCCGCCTGTAGGATAGCTCCATTTCTGACTTCATCTTTGTCCGAGATATCAGGATCCACCTCCGGAATTATCGTACCATTGAATTCTTCCCCACATCGTGGGGAATATGAGTGCAATGCGACATTGTTGAAATATCTGGGGTCTGGGGTATAGTTTTGTCATGAAGCTCTGGCCTGGCCAGAATTTCGCCGGCTGGGAGGGATTTTATACTTCCACCAATCGGATATTCTTCATATCGCAATGCTGCAAATGAAGTGCCAAAGTGATATTACCAAACTAGGTTATACGGAGTGCAGCCGTAGGAAATCGAGCTTTGTCTCCTCCCTGTGTCGTCAAATTGCTGATTTGTGGCATTCTATCAAATTTCCCGGGGGGGGATGGTTTTGGCAATTCAATCACTACCAGGTGAACGTCGTCAGCGAATGTGACAAAACGACCCAGGAGCTAGGCGAAAGGAGAGTGGGAGAACGACAAGAACTAACTAAATATCAAAATGAGCACGTACGAATATAAGTATAAATGGCCATAATAAAGTAAAACCGCAGACACCTATCTGTGTGTTTTTCCCACGCTTTTAACGGGATGATTCAATTCTAAATGCCACTCAGGTAAATAATTACAACAGCAGACGCAGATCGGAAGTACTGTGCTATTGGAGTCAGACCAGCGCCCCATATCGATAGAAGATCATTTCCTTCAACATATCACAGCCCCACAATCCGAAAGTGATCTATTTTCCTGGACTCAATGAAAAGTTCAAAAAGCTCGTATCGACCTCCACTTATCGCAAGTGACCAACAGATCTGCATCGTGATTCCCAGCAATCTCGGTTCTTGGTAGTACTGAGGGAAACGATTCAAGGTACATACATAAGTTCATACGTACCCTCACACTGGCAATGGCAGAAACGTTGTCTCAGCAATTGAATAGGGGAAATTCTGAAATTTAATACCATCACAGATTCCTTGAGGCAAACCAGAAAGCGGTAAAGCAGCAGATATTGCCCGACCACCAAAAGAACGAACGAACAAAGCTCAGTTTGAGAGACTCGATGTACTTATAGCAGAGCCCGAACGCCAGCCGTGACACCGCATACCATAGTCCAATGCGGTTAATTACGTCACTGGGCACACCCGCGTGAAGAGCGACAAGAACTAGGGAGATCAGTATGCATCTCGGCCGAATCACCATATTAGGCCAGGACCATACTTGCGGCTACAAACAATGGGTAATGCTCAGCTGAATTGGCCATGCTGGCTTCCTGCCGCTTGAGTCGATTCAAGGTTTGCCGTGTGATCTTGCCCGATTGTACAGCGGCCTCTCCAAATTTGGCGAGGTCGTCACGAGGGGCCTGGTTGTGATCGATACCGAGCTTCAACTTCTCCCGCCGCGTGCTGAATACGCCAAATGAGATGAGCCAGTTGACCACCAGATAGGCCACGGCATGGTTGGAGGCCTGTTCTCCGGGAGCAGCCTGAAGACCAAGAGTGGTCAGGACGGCCCTGTTGGTGTTAACATTGCAGCGAACTTGCAGCGTGGCATATATATTGATGTAGAGCATTCCACACTCACGACATGCTGAGCATATACGACTTGTCTTCTGTCAGAGTTTGGTTTCGGAGGGGTATCTGGTGTGATTAAGGTAGGAGAGGGATGGGAGGAATGGCGACCCTTATAATAACGATGCTAAGCGATCGGCGGACTAATGACATCGATGACTCATCAAGCACCGAGGGCACGTGCATCAACTCTCAAGTAAACCATTTCATGTGCGTTCACAAGATCATTCAAAATCCTGTGAAAAAGTCCATATTCCATAGTTCCGGAAATCCGTAGTCTACCGAGTCGAACAAATTACCAAAGTCAAGTGGCTGGTCGCTGACTGTTAGTTCGACGAAGTAGATAGAGTGTAGGGTGAGGATAATATATTCTTACGGAAACAGAAGCTGACTCGTAGGGAACCAACGCGGGATCAAACGGTATCTCAGAGGCCGCAGAGTTCACGTTAGGTGTTGAGATATCCGGCTATACCTGGGTTAGCAGGAGTCAGCGCATGGGGCATAAGATAACCTACCACAACGGGACCTTCTTCTCTTCGGATATCGGTCCATGCTTTCCCTCGAATCAGCCGTTCACAGTCCTTAATGGATTTTGCAGCCACCTGCTCGACCTTTCTTAAGGCATCCTCTCCATTCAGGCGCGCCTTAACGGATGCAAGAGCCATTGCAAGGAAAATAAACGCCTTGCACCCTTTCCCCCGTGGCGAAATTCGGCTGCCAAAGGTGTCCAGCGTATGCTCCACGGCCCGGACTAAGACATCCTGCTGGGACCGTACCAAGTCATTCAGCGAACTTAATGAGCTAATCTGGCCAGGAGGCTGTTTCGATGAGGAGAACTCAGTAGCTTGAAGGGAAACCTCCACACAGACGGTGATCGCGGCGTGGAAAAACTCGTCGCGGAACATCCCCCCACTGAGCTGTCCTAGATGTGGACATGCCTGTGCCTCTGGGAAGCTAACAGCGGGAGCATCCAACTGAGAAAGCATTTCCAAAGATGACTCGAGACAGATCTTCCGTGAATAGGAAAATTTGGGCGACAGTTGCACACTGAGGGAGAACGGACGGTGAAGAACAAGTAAAAAGCGGACCATGACGAACACTAAGAACGACCTCGTGAACTGCAAGCTCTCAGGGGAAATGGATGTGGATGCGTTATCAGGGAACAAAGCCAAGGCACTATCCCTGTGCTGAACCAGCTGCTCGCTCAGGCGTAATGCCTCGTCATAAGACAAAGTGAATTTCAAACTGTTGACTAACTTCGCTATCCTAACACGCAACGGCAACGACTGCGACAGCAGAACCTGGAAACTGCTGCGTGTCACCATCGCTGCGTCCTTCGGGATAACGTCCTCTGTCAGATCCTCCATTAGGTCGTCATCGTCATAGTTTGACGGTGGGTCACAATCATATTCGTCTAAGTCGATTGAAGGAGGCATACCTCCGTCCAAGGCTGACTGTAGATCCAGCTCCAAGATGGTAGCCCATAGACGACGACGCATCTCAGCCCAAAACCTAGTCATCTTTGGAAAGCGCGCAGGGTTCCGGTGTAACCCTATCATCATAGCAGAGCGGATCAAAGAACCCGAGGAGATCCAGACAACATCCCCATCTGTGGCGTCAGCCTGGCGTGCGAGGATCAAGATACACTGGATCTGCAGCATGTTGAAGTCAATTGTTGAGCTAACATTGATGGATGAGATCCATGATTGTACTGCCATGATCCACCCTCCCGCCGCACTATGCAAAGTATCTTTCTCATTGAGTCTCGTTGTTGGGCTAAAGAAGCAGCTACTAGCAGCCATCACCGCCAGAAGTTTGGCAATAAAGGCCATATCAGTGGTTTCGGTACCGGCCCAGTATGTCTCGTATTGTTTGAGAAATGTCGGAACGTGCAAGATTCGATATGTCGTTTCGAAGGTGGATAGATACAGGTTGACTAACTCATCGGCGACTCTCCGGTGCGGAAGCATCTCTTCCAGCGTGAAAGCTTTCTCACGGTATGCCCTCTGATGATCTTGCTTCTCTCGAGATAGCATTTCGCCCCTGAACTTTTTCAACTTGAGATACTCCGGGCTTTTCGACTTCTTCTGCATGCATCGGTCTTGAAAGTAGGAGGCCACGTCTTTGAACTGCAGCTATTTAGCACAGGAATGTTGGGCGGCTCGTTACCACTTACGAATGAAAAAGATAGTGCCGAATGACAACGTCCACAATACCTGGTCTTTCCATTTTTCCCCCTAAAACATGCTCGCCCTGGTAGATGCTTAACGTCCTCACTGAGTAGTAGAGACTCCGAGGTTATCCGGGGTCCGTAGTCCGACACAGACTCGCACGCCGAACTGTCCGGCGTTTGGATGGATCCAACTCTGGACAGAGCGCTTTCCAACACTTGCACACGATGTCGGAGTTCTTGCACTTCCTCGGGGCGTCCTTTGGGCTTGGTGATTCGGTTTGTAGACTGGTGCCGCGAGTCAAAGACGTAGAGTCCACTATGACCTGGGCTGGTGTGATTACTCGGTACATTGGCCCGGTCGGAAGCGGTGCGCATCGGTCGATTCTCCAATGGCTGGCCCGACGCGGGTCCGGAGTAAACGCAGAGGTCAGGGGTCTTTGACTTGACGCATTGCGAGCACGGTAATGCTCGATCGCACTTGAGCTTGCGGCGTCTGCAAACGGTACAAGAAAGAGCCGGTCGGCGCCGTCGGGGTACTAATATCGAGTCCGGTGATGTTGACGTTTGTTCATTATGATTTCCTAATTCGCGATCTTCGTACATATTTGACGGTGGGAATCTATCACCTGACCATTTGTTGGTTCAAGTAGGAGATATCTCAATAATGAGGAGAGATATGCGTTAAGATATCGACACCTAAGAGAGAGAAGTGATACTCGGTGCCAAATCCAACACGCATTCTCAAACTGACAATAATTCTAGTAATCAAGAAGAATCCTTCTTCCCGATGGCCTGATCATCTATTATGAAGTCACAATCGGAGCAAAATCCACCTTCGGCCTTACGCTTTTGGGTCAAAATCGGAGATAAGCGGCTCGGGAAATCCTACTCAAGTAGCTAGCCATCACCGCCTTCCAGCCGCTTCCAACCTTAAGGCACTCAAGACCGATGCCTGAACCGGAATACTCGTATATAGTTGAGACGATGCCGTTCCTCGAGCATGTATCCCTCCAGACTCATGGACAAACCCCTATGGCTTCGTAATGAGGTTTCAGTATTCATTCCAGGAGGCTCAATCCTCTTCCACGGTTTGATATTATGTTCTATATACCACTATATCAATATATACAGGTAACTTCGTCGAACAACTTAATTACGCCTCCAGAAAGGCTTCATCACAGATCGCACATAAACAAGAACATAGACCATCAAATAGTTCGAGATCACGAATGCAAAGAAAATGCCAAAATAGGGCCAAATCTTCGACGAGTCTAGGCCAATGCCAGAGAGGTACTAGGCAGTATCGTTAGTTTGACAGGTATCTTGAATCGACCATTATTGTCGTCCACCCAAAGACAGAAGCAAGAAAAAAAAAAATAAAGAAAGAAAGAAAGGACCACTTACATCATCTCCATAGCTATATTTGCAGTATCCGCATTTGCTTGTGTCATCTGGGTTGGAAAGGTAGCCTACGCCATGTTCTGCAAGCCACGGGCCTGCATACTCTCCGCAAGTCATGTTCGGTGGGCTTTCAAAAACCGTCAATTCGTTGCTGTCGCAAATGACGGGCATGCCACGTAGGACAGCCGTTAGGACACCACCAATCCAATAAGTGAATGGCGTGGCATAGTACATGGTGTACTTCCAGAACACGGGCATGTTATCGTGGGGCTGAAGGATACCGTTGAACAGCTCGCACATGATGATAAAGAATGGCATGAGGGTCGCAGCCACCATAGAGTCAGCGCTGTGACCATCTGTCAGCATGGAATCTACGTCCAGTTATCCCTGTTGGAAGCATGCTCACCTCAGCGCTGCGATCCATTGACCCCAAGACGTGGCGAACAGGAAGAACAAGAAGAACATCAAGAAACTATATCCGGCAGCAAATCCCAAAGGAAGTCCGACGATGAAATAATAAAGCACATAAAATATCACGGCGCTGATTATGGCGTACGGGATCTCAGATACGATTTGTGCTGTGCAGAATGCAACCCACCCGTAGACACCGCTAGGATCTTCGCGTGCCTTCCATATCTCGCGGTTCATGATAAACCGCATAGAGATGGCATTGATGAACTCCGGTACCAGCATAAGAACCAAGAAGCATGAGAAGGCCTTGGATTGCAGGTCAGTTGAGCTGTTCCCAATCTGCAGGTAAGTGAGACCGTTAATCAGGGCGTGCAGGAACGACGCATAGAGCCGGGAGTAAGGATACTCTGGGCTTCGCCAGTATTGCCGCAAAGTACGTTTGGTCAAAAGGCCTACCTGACGATAAAGTGGCGGTGAGGTTCTTTTTGCATCTTGGGAGACATCGGCCTTAACTCCCTTACCCCGGATATCGCAGATGTCTTTCTTGACCAGATCGGCTTCCTCGGATCGGTTCCATACGTCAGCCCAGTTGACTTGGTGTGTGGTGTCTTTCATGCCCCCTACGACAACTTCGATCAAATAGTCTGCCGCATTGGTCACATTCTCCGGCTTGTGTCCATTCTTGGAGAAATATTCAAAGATCGAACAGCCGGACTGCCCTACTTCCCCAAAGTAGTAGGTACTTCCACCAGGACTGAGAGCCAAGACTCGATCAAACTCCTCGAACTGCTGCTGGTTTGCTTGGTGAATGGTACAAAGAATAGCCAGTCCCTGGTCTGCCAATCGCCTCAGCAAGGCAACAATACTAGAAGCGCCCTGGCTATCAAGTCCGCTTGTCGGCTCATCCAGGAAAAGTAGCAACTTAGGCCTCGCACAAAGCTCTACCCCAATAGTAACACGCTTCTTCTTTTCGATATCTAATGACCCGATGAGGGCGTTCTGCAACTCGATTAAGTCAAGTGTCTCAATGACCGTGTTCACATATGAGAGCTTTTCTTCATCGGGCACTTCTGGGTTCTGGCGCAGCAGCGCTGAAAATTCAAACGCCTCACGAACAGTGCTGCTCTCATCGTGAATATCCATTTGTTGGCAGTATCCAATCTGACGATTGAATGACTCATCGACCGCATGCCCGTCGACGTACATTGTACCCGTCAACTTTCCAGAATTTGGTCGCCGAGTCAGGGCCGTCAGTACTGTAGTCGTTAGCAAGGGAACATGGAAGGGAATAAACAGAGCCTTACGAGTTGATTTTCCCGCTCCAGAAGCACCCACCAGAGCCGTCAGGGTTCCGGGCTTGCAGTAGCCACTGACTCCATTGAGCAGCTTTCGTGTCTCTTTCCCAACTTCCACAAACAGCTCCAAATTATCCCAAGTAAATGTGGACATTGTTCCGCTTATGGCTTGGCCAGACTTTTCACAAGTGCTTGCTGAATCAGGCATGGTTGCATCACGTTGGACAGGGTTGCTTTCTTCATCCAGTCCTTCCCTGTGGGTTCGTCTTGAACTTCTCCGCGACTTCTTATACTGTATGGGGCCCGCACTGTCCGGTTCCCATTCCATGATTTCACTTAACCAGCAAGTACAGGCGATGTAGACCACAGTGAAGAGACACAATATTCCAAAGTTGCGCCAGACATGACCAAAAGAAAAGCCGTATTGCGCTGCTAAATAGTTGTCGCCATTGACGACAGTCGATCCGATTTGGCTTCCCGCATAGCCGCAAGTCTGATATGCAATGTTGGTGTAGTTGGCACCGGAAGGGACAACAGATTCTGGTGAGCAAGTGAAGTTGGCATTGTGAAATTCCGCTGCCATCGTTGCCTCGTATGTATAAAGAGCTGGAGTAGTATACTAAAGAGTAGAATGAGCATCGAGCACAACACGGGATCCTTCTGGAATTCTTACCGCTATCCATCCAACCCAAGGAACGTCTTTAATCATCCTATCTACCGAGAGGACATAACCACCAAAAACTATGCAAAACAGCACGGATACGCCACAGTATCGTAAAGCAACTTCGAAGTTCGAAGATGCGGCGGCGAACAATCGGAACTGGGCCGTTAAACAGATGGTACACAGGTAGATGAATAAGAAGTCAATCCAAAAAGCCCCGGCCTAGTTGAACAGTTAGTGAGAGTTTTTATACTAGATATAGAGGCGCAACCTACATCGGATTTCAAGCCAGACAAAAAGTAAACCACGATCAGATACAGAAACGTGATCACTGCTGCTATGATGAAATCCGTAATAACTCTGGCCAAACATACAGCACTGGGTCGAACAAACGCAAACTTCTTTTGACGGCTGAGAATATCCCGCCCTTGCATTGCTTCTTCCAGTTCGGACATCTGGAGCCATGCGAGCAGAATGGAGGAGTAGAAAATGACTCCTCCTCGAGAGTACATCCCTGCGGTGGTCTGCGGCTGGTTATAGAACATGGAACCGACCAGCAACCCGTAGACGACAGATGATATGATTTTGATATACAAAGGAGACATATGTCCCCGGATCTGCCACAGCTGTCGCTTTGCACAAAGCACCACCTGTCGGAACATGGAGATCGTATACGGGGACTTAGGCGAGACAAAACGGGACTTGTCTGCCTGTATGGCCTTCTTGAAGTCTTCCAGACTTCCATCGTCTGAATCAGTCTGCGAGCATCGAACACCTTTTCCACCAAGGCATTGATCCTCGTACTGCTGTACATCACACTGGACCTTATGATAGGCTGGGCTTTTGCGGAATGTTTCCTCCAGTTCAATGGGGCCCTTAGGGGCTCGGTGCTCCCAACCTGGTCGGAACCTGCGTCTCTCAGGCACTGTGATGCTCGTTAAGAAGTCTGAGATTGTCTGCATCTCCGCGCACTCGTAACCCAAGTCTTCAAAGTAACGCTTTGCTTCCCGAGCTGGGCCTTGGAAGAGCATGCGCCCTTCGTCAATGAGAAGAACCTTATCAACTAGGTCGTAAATGGCATCCGATGCTTGATACAGTGTCATTAGCGTAGCTTTGCCACATGTATCAGTCATGATTCGGAGACTACGAGCATAGTCCAGAGCGGATGAAGCGTCAAGTCCCCTGGTGGAATTATCCCAACATGAAACAGAAGAATCTGTTGCGAGGGACTCAATGATCGAAATACGCTTGCGTTCCCCACCAGAAACACCCCGAATATATTCGTTACCGACCAATGTATTCATCGTGTGGGACATGCCGAACACGCGACCGTAGATCTCAAGGTAACGAAAGATCCGGTCTTGGTATCTCTGGGGTGTCTTACTCTGGAGCGCAAATTCCAACGTCTGTTGCACCGTGAGCGTAGGAAAATGTACATCGTCCTCTGGGACATAGGCCACTTGGCCACGATAGTGCTTTTTGACCTCTTCTAGGCTGAGACCAGAGTAGTCCAAAGACCCTGTTACTCCGAGGAACGAAGAGTGATGGCCCGCAATTGTTCGTAGAAATGTCGAGCAACCAGCTCCCGGTCGTCCCAGCACCCTGTCGAGTCGTGAGTCTGAGAACATCTTCCTCGGTGCATTGCTATATAATGCGTAGATGTACTTACAGCATGATCTCACCACTTCGAACGGCGCCTGAAAAATCACGAATCAACGGACGTCCGCTCTGTGGTTCCTTCCTAGAAAGCCAGGGCTGAATCGTCCACTCATAGACATCCTGAAATGTCAAGGTGCGCCAGAGTGCCGTTCCCAAGGTCTTAACATCGGTGTGCTCCTCCCCATCTCCCCATGTTGACAGCGATTGAAAGCAAACTCCGAGATTCGGCTTTTTCCGGCCAGCTTGCAACTCTGCTTCTAAAAACTTGTCAAAGGAAGAGTGCGGCTCAGAGTAAGCTTGCTGGGGGCTATGATGGCTAATCTCCGTCAAGGTACGACGGATCTCCGCGATGGCATCCTCATCGTCGTGAGACAAGTATACCCGAGGAGAGGACACTGTATCCGATGGACTCTCAGTTTCATGGTTGGCAGTTAGGGAGGTGCTCCCATGTGGGTGAGCGTGGAGATGGGCCGGCATGGCAAATCCACGACCGTTCTTAAGCCTGGTGGCTCGCACAGTACGTCTGATGTAGAGGGATCAACTTGGTGTATTTATCCTCAACCACCGTCGCACACCAAGACAGATTTATATACCAGTCGGTGTGGCTAGACTGCAGGCAGCACCAGTTTACGGGTCTCGTGTGCTGGATTAAAGAGGAAGCCAAGCTTCACTGCCCCAAGGCCATTGGACGTCATATAAGACAGGTTCTGGAGTTTTTGTAAGCATAATGGTGCAAAGAGATTCGACGATCATCTCTCGAAGGGCCCACCACTTTCGGTATCGCACAAGAAAATTACTTGCATCGTATGGCTATATCAGGGCTGATTGGCCAGTAAGGCCCGAGAAGGCAAAATCTCGGCATATGGACTACTAGTACTACTACTACTACTACTCTACTGCTAGACGGAATTTTCCGAATAGGGCAGTTGTCTAGAGATGCAGTGACTGAATCATGGCTGCTGGGAACCTGGAATTTTTCCCCTAGCGTTCCAGACTTCTCCTACAGTTAAGCTAAAAGGGCAGCCAAGATGCAGTGCGTATCTTGAGCCCCACCTCTCCACTATCTTCTAAGAGAGATGCATAGTACTCCATACCGAGTATGCTATACCCCAGGATCAACAGCAATATGCTCTACTAGTATGGTTGGATACTTAGACATCGGTTGCTTTACTATACCGATAGAACATACATGTCCATATAGGCCCTCGTAGTACTCGTCGCTATGAGTAGTAGTACTCGTAGTAGCGTGACGTTCTCCAATAAAATCCCCACCACCCAATTGGGGTTTCCTTTTTTTTTTTTTAAAAAAAGCCTGGCATGGGATTGGAGGTGGCCGTCAGCCTTTACCCTTTACGGGTAATCTTTCGCCCAGATGGATCCCAATCCGGATTCTACTTTTCTTCTACATCCAGCCGAAATTAATCAAGAGGAACAAAATTAAATAAAACAGGAAGGAAGAAAATTATATCCGGATCTTGAAATGAGTTCATCTTTATTAGCAATCATTTTTTTTTCTGAACAGTAGTCGATGTCATCAATCCACACACATCATCATTGTTTTTGCTTCAGTTGCTCATCAATAGCCGCAATACTATGATTACTATACCGTCAAGTAGCTCCCTCCATATGGATATGCAACCTACAAGACTACCACCCACTGGCATGGTGTAAAAGTAACTAGACACATCACAAGTCTTAAATTCATATCAACTTCTTCAGTAGAATACACATCCCACTGTACGGAGCTGCTTTGTTAGCCTCAGCAGCTATTTTCCCAAGCTAGAACTCTTCCCTCAGCGGCATTAAGGATCTACTCAATCAATATCTGGGTCTATTGCTCGTCCGCCCCATCGGCAATCATACCTTGTCTGCTACACTGTATGATACTTGGCAGTCAGGGCCAAAGTACATAACAATTGGACAGCGCCACAATCTCAATTGCCATGAAACACACATTAATATAATATATTCGACTCCGTGCCAACTCAAAGCTACTCTAACAGTGTACCAAAGAAAGTGCTAGATTTTTCTGGCTGTACATGTCTCAGTGTACTACATTATCATCATATTCGTAGTTATTCTTTGCCCGCTTTCGTCATATTTTACGCTTCTTATAATTTTTTCGAGAGGTGCTTACACATGGACTCAAGATTTAACTTCTATATTATTGTTTATAAATTATATTCCGTCAAGAACCATACCAACCCTACAAAATATTTTGAACACCCCCTGCCCTCTATGAATATAGTGTCGGTGCATCCAGGCGTTATGAAGTATGATAAAAGGGCAGCGGTCAACGGAACCGGGCTTTTTTTTTTTTTGCGTAGCCATCTATACCCTGAGTAACTCTCACAGCCTTCCTACTAGACAGATGCTGTTTCTCATTGCTTTAAGCTTGACCATGTCATTTAATACTGGCCCCCACAATTTGTACATATATTCGCCATCTCTTCCGACGAACCACGTATTCAACCAGTCCTTGAATATCAAAATCAAAACAAAAATTAGAAGAAAAGAAGAGAAGCGAAGAGACAAGAAAGTCCTTAGATGGTGGTGATGAGGCATTGTTGATTAGATGCTTTGAATTAGTGTAATCCAGGAAGTCCTGACTTAACTTTCCCAATCCTAGGCTCACGGCTCAGGGTTCATATCTTACCAGCCAGTCCACCTATGGTGGAATACACACATGAAAACACAAGCTAAACATAAAAGACACAAACTTGCATCAACATTGCCTAACAGCGAACCAATGTCTATGTCTCATGGAATGACCAATATGTAAAATCCAACACATAGTATGCGTCAAATAATTTCAACACTTAACAGTCAGAATTTCCGGTTTCATTAATCACAGTGAAGGAGGCGCGATTTACTATTTACTACTACTAGTACAATTATAGACTCGTCACACATGATCTGACTCACGGATAGGCCCATGAACCATATGACACCGTCAGATACGAGACTAACTACCTTTTTTAGCCAGTGAGCAAAAACCGGGTTATACCTAATACTAATGTTGATTACTATATATCTCAATTGCTGTGTGGAGTCATTGTCATAGAGATCAATCGGTCGAGATAAACGCAGGGGTGAAAGCCGTTAAGCGTACAGCTTGACAAGTCAATATTCATCCCCCATTCTAGTACTAGGGTTTCCGAGCCACGAATACGGGGCGGAAGCCCGGCTCACCCTATCCAAGCGTTCTCTCATGGTTTAGATTATTCTTAGCCCTTTTATGTTTGTATGCCCCATGTGACGAAGCAGCTTTATATAGATGATATGCCATAACCCTCCTCGTTACTAAGATTTCGACGACAACCAAAGTTTGTGCAGCTGACTGATGAATCGGGCTCCCGGCTGAAGCCCTTGAGTTCAGTACGCAAACGCGTAATACTGAGGCCGCCACAAACACTATGGCTCATTCTCAAGGTGGTATGATATAAACAGACAGCGTACCTAGCCTGAGTTTACCAGAAAGATAGAGAGACACCATCCTAATAATGATTATACAACCCCACGTCACTGTACGGCTGTATGCTGCAGTGCTAGGGCTCTGTAAATCCAGTCACTGCCCTTTCTTCCGTGACCTCAAGTCCATTGGCGCTTTACTCACCTGTCTAGTGTTACTCGAGCAATCCACGTGTATCGACCAAAGGTGATTGATCAAGGCCCCAAATACCCTACAGTGGGCCGGTCTAGGCCAAGGATTGCAGATGGCCAGGACTAATATGTTCATCCTCTATTCGGCTTTCTCTAGTAATGTGAACCTATCCCCTCGCTCCGGGCAAGGCCATTTCCCACCAGTGCCTAAGCTGGACGCTCGGGTTTCTCTTCTGGATGGTAGCGGTATCCAAAATGGTATGATGACGGCCAATGCTCTCTGCGAAAACTGCAATGACTGGCAGGGCGGGTCCATGGACCCAAAGAGTTCATCGATACAGTGGATTTATGCTTATAAAGAGGGGTTGCTGCTAGATTCTGATAATACCACCGAGTTAATCCAAAAGCATGATGGGTATGGAGGTGCAAACACTGATTTGTCTCACGCGAAGACAGCCTCTACTAACCCGTGTTTAACATACAACCCAGCTACCGGCCTGAGCAATACTACCCTTTCCACAGGCAGTACTACAGGTCCTGACATGCTCATCGCGCATGGGTTCATAGTGGCCATTACATTTGTCCTGCTCTTCCCATCATTTGCCCTCGCTGCCCCACGTCCCTACGCGATCTCCATCCGCAAAGTTCGTGCACCCCTTCAGATCCTCGCACTTGCCCTCGTCATTGCTGGAATGGGCGTAGGTCTTCTGCTTGCTGTTAACAACAATTTGACGACGAACTCGCACACCATCATTGGCATTATCATCGTGGTGCTCCTTACTCTCTTCCAACCAGTGATGGCAGCACGAGTATCTTTTCTTACGCACATCGCTGGCTGGGCCGTTCGATGGTCATTCTTGGCATTATCAACGGGGGTCGTGGTTTCCGCTTGGCGGGTATAGGCAATCCCGGTACTCCTCAAAGTACGATGATTGCATATTCAGTCATTGTAGGGATAGTGGGGTTCGCATATCTTTGTGTACATCTTCTGGTGGGGATGCAAGGAAAACCTCATCAGCAAGAGCGGAAGCGTGAACCCACTACTTCCAGGTAGGTACTATAGTACTACTAGGTAGTGGGAGCCCAATAGGGAGGATATCATTAATCACGGGAATGGCAACATGGCTTGAGATTGTTGACTGGGAAAGGTACTACTGGTGGTCATAGTTAGAGATACTAGCATAGTGCTTGCTGGGTGGGCAAGATTAGTTTCTACAGTTCACAGAATACCACTTTTGAAAACCTCGATATGCGAGAAGAGGCCTTTTTTGAAGCCCTAGTAGTCCCACATGCAGTATGTCTTTACCTCTTAGTGAGCCACAAATTTTCTAATGGCGCGAGCAATGGTGTCTGTCCCAATTTGTAGTGCAACATGTCTTGATCTCTGCACTTGGCTGCCGACGTCTTCTCTTTCTCAAGACTGGCCATACATATCTCGTTCTGGATCATCCGTAGTGTACTGTGTGGAACTCATATACTACTAGTCCCAGTAGTAGTACTGTGCAGTGTGTACTCCAGAGTATATATTTTGTAGACGCTATACCCAATTTGGTTATCCACTGGGCTCCACTGGAATCACGGGTTATGATTCAAAATAGAACCCGCCCTCGCCTACCAACAACATCAGGAATTTATAGGGATTACCCTACTAGTCATGATGATACCGCTATGTTCCCTCCGAGGCCCTTACACTTTGAAATTAACCAAGAGAAAGGAAACAGTTCTAACAATGCTATACAACGCCCTCATCCGCACCCACCACATTACCTCCCGCAAGAAGGTTGCTGCGCTGAAACAAGCTGCATCCGCTCATAATTGCTTTGCCCTCCTTCGCTCTGGTGGCATTCCTGGAATCATGTATGTTGAATCCCACGAGAAAGATGCTGTTGAGGCATGGGTGAGCGTGGTGCGCAATCTGAGATATAAGGATTTCCAGCTTGTGGCTAGGCCTGGACTTCTAGAACAAGATCTTCAGAATCGGGATGAGAATGGGAAACAGCGGGATGGTAAGAAAAACAATGGACAAGAGCAAAGGGGGGGCGATTCTGTCGCTGGTCTAGAAGAGGTAGAGACAGTGAAGGAGTTCGGAAGTATAATGGAAGATCGCGGTGTTTGGAGATGGTGGAGGAAGGGGATGGGATATGTGAATTGATTGACGATTTACACTGTGCTATTGGGGCTAAAACTCATTAATAATCTACAGCACATATTCTGCAGAGCTCTTGCGAGTGATGTGGCCTGGATTGAAGCAATCTACTTCTTATCATACAGTCCGAGATGTCCGAAGAGCGATCGCAACGCAGGTGCATAGGGTTGGTTGTATTCATACGACCAGTTACGCTGTCCAATATGGATCTTCGGGATGTGTTACCGCATTATTAATCAAGATCTCCTCTTTTAAAGTATGCAATGGTCTTGAAGCTATTTGCAGAAGGTTAAGTACTCAATGTCACCTCGGTCGCTACCGCTCGTGGGATCCTGTTATCGGGTTATTCCCTGGTAATTTAGCAAGAGGCCCATGCTGTCCCAATTGCTCCAACGGTGGAGGTACATCCAAAGAATGTGTAATTGGAGCCAGTGCCCTTGTTTGGTTGTTTGTGATCGAACATTCCGGATCGTTTAGCCCATCCAGGCCCGTACATGTCGCCATAGCGTTCTGCAGTGCGTTCTGGTCTGTCCAGCCGTTGAGAAAGTCTCCATGCAGACCATATCCTGTTGGGTCGCCCATAGCGTACACCCAATTCTCATGGTCTGGAAACGGCTCCGTGTTGAAGAAAAATTCCATAAATATCGAATACACAGCCACCGGATGGGTCTCCGGGCAAACACCCTGATTATAATCCCCAACCGCGGGATAGGCCATCTAATTCAACGTCAGGCCAGAACATGTCATAATCGTCGATGCTTTACTCACGTGGCTCTGGTGGTCTGGACTATCGAGAGCTTTCCCATCCCAGCATGAGGGAAAAAATACTTGCGATCTCAATTTCAGACATGGTTGCTGGGGAAGATGTTTTGTTTCGCTTGAAGTTCCATCATCCTTTATACACATGTGGGAGATGGCCCGCTGTGCGAAGTTCGTCTCGTTATACGTTCTATGACAGCATCAACCCTGCTGCACCTTGAATGACTCGATCCAAAAGCGTCTTACCGGAGAAATAAATCCCCAGCAACCATGCGCAGCCCGGGGGGTGGCGCCAGCGGGTATTCTGCATCATCGCAAGATGTTGCGTTGGGGGAATAATCGCATGCTCTACTGAAATAATATATTGCCTGGCTTGCTATGTCAGTTGCCGTCCAGAATATTCTTCATCATAGTTTACAACATACGCTGTTCTCAAATTTGATTGTTTCAAACCCATCTCGCGTCTGATGATATAATTGTGGGATCCAGTAATTGCTCCGGTCTAGCGCAACCTCACAGGTTGTGTCGTTGGCATTTTTAGCAGTCTCGGTTGTCATCAGCCTCTGAAAAGCCGTGCCCCCTACAACGACGTGCGTGTGTGAGGAAGGCTTTCCCGGAGATATGATCGGATCAGACCGTTGGGTTGTTAATGGTAAACAGCTGAAAGTGAATAGGCTGTCCGTCGGACCAGAAGTGCTCGCAGCTGACTGGCATAATGTGAGCGACAAGATCGCTGCGATGCCACATCTTTTGCAACCCGTTAATACCATCATGGCGTGGGTGGAGATATGGCAAGGATGGCAAGAGGCCGTTTATTGTTTCTCAAATTGAAGCAGTTGCCCCTCCTTTCCCTTATGTGTCATCTTCAGGCATGTTTGTTGGATACCGAAGCCCAAATATGCTGCCATGCCAGTCGAAACCTTGATATCCACCCAGTTTAACAAGAATGAGGTGAGGTCGGTTGAGAATGCACGTGTCCCCTAAATGCAGGTTGGATTCCACCATGATTTATTATAATGAAATAGGACAGTCTATCTGATTTACATGTAATGCTAGCCCGTGTGTAAACCCAGTAACGCCGGTCATACTCCATAAAATATGCATTATACAGATTCATTTGAGCCGGAAGACTCAGAATGCTCTGTTGGAGGCCAATCAGGGGCCGGATAACTCAGAAGTTTGCAGACGTCCTAATGGCTTCGTTAATAAAGTCGTATGCCGATGTAAAGGTGCAACACAAACCTTTCGCCGCCGCCGGAAGTCATGATAGATACTCTTCCACACCTCTCGATCACGGCACCCACTTTCTTGGGGTGTGCCGGGGTTGTGTTTACACTTGGGCAACATTTCAGCCAGCAACTTCTGCGGCCACAGAACCCACGGTTTAGGCAAAGGCCAATCTGAGAAATGCACAAGTTTGGCTTCTGCTAGCGCTTTATCCGGATCCCAGACCTCATAGTCATTTCCCAGGAAATTTCTGTGATCCTCAATGCGGAATTCGCCACTCACTAAGCCATACTGGCGATGTGGAAGCACGGTGGCGGAATCGGCATAACGTTCGTTCAATAACTCCATATCGTATCGATGTGTCGATGATGCATTGACCGTTTTTTGTCCGTATATAGCCGGAAGCGCCGCCTCCATCAGAGCATTATATTCATTGTAGGACGGTTCGATTACAATCAGCAGAGATGACAGTTGTTTGGTATCCGGAAGCTCCCAATACGCCCGTGGCATCGCAACCTTGGTCGGAGGAAGGAAAAATAGCTCATCCATGTTCTGCAGAACGTTGGCGTCGGAGTCGAGGTGAATTATCCGATCGTACTCGCTCTCGCCGAAGGCAAGTAATTTAGAGATACTCTTATCCCATGACTCGCCGGATCCTATCAAGGAATATAAATCTTATTAGCCCTTGCTTTTACCTCGTTGGTTTTTTGCTGCCACAACACACCTGCCCCCGGTTTGATGGTCTCCAAGCTGATGGGAATCAGCATCACATTGTATTTATCTCTTGCCATCGCCAACAACTGGCTATCCCTATCGCGCTCGCTTTCGACACTGACATCCCAATCTTCAGGGAAGAATAATACCCGTTGTGCCCGACTTCCTAGCCGTTGCAGGGCTTCGAATACCATGAGGGCGTTGCACAGATAGGCGCTAGAGGTCGCATACTGGCTGTAGGCATAACGGGACCAGTCCACCAAATCGTAATTTATGTGAGGCAGTGCCGGAGGTTGGGGACGTTCCCGTCGGAGCCATAAAATAAAAAGGACGAGGAAGGCGAAAACCACCCATACCCGAATGCGTCGCAGTTGCCGCTTGGCGATTGCCAGGCATGGTTCGTCAGGGATATCGAAGAAGTCATCTTCGGAGGATTGGGAGCCTCTGCGGTGAGGGAGTCTCGGCACCTTCTTAATCGCCATTTTTAGTGGTGCAGTTGAGCGAAACAGGGAGCCATTGCTGTATTCAGATACAAAGGTTGCATATACTCCAAGGAGAAGTTTGGACGCGCGTCCGTACTTGTTCTGATTGTTGAATCGGCGGATCGCAGTCCACATCGGCGCACGTGATCGCTGCGATCCGATTGAACATGGTTTGTCTTAAATATTGTAGTTTCATCCGTGTACAATCTATGGTTCTGTATTACAAAATACATATTCATACATTCAATAGGCAATACATGCCAAGCCTCTTCACTGCGTCTTCACTAAGCGCGCTACTGGACCCCGTCAAGTCGCGCTTGAATTGTTTCCTCGTCAAATTGTCCGTGCTCCCCGACATAATGGCGAAGTGCTTCCAGAGTCATCAGTCGCCGTGGCGCTTTCCGCCCAGTCAGCAGCTCAAACTGAGCGATGGCCTGTTCAATGACGTTGTCGAGTCCATCTACCAGAACCCATGGCCGTCCAGTCTCACTGCGGAAGCGACGCATTTGGCGTAAGAGTGGGGTTTCCAAGGGTTTGTATGCAAACTATGTCCAGAGTCAGTATCAACCAGTAATTAGTAGAGTTGCAGAGGGGTGGAAGAGGAGAATAATGGAGAACGGGGAGGGAGAGGAAGACCTACCTCTAAGACCACCCCACCAGTAGGGCTCTCAAGCCATTGCATCGGCATCTCGAAGTTTGCTGGAGGTTCATCTTGGTCCGGGTCGGCAGGTACACAGGACGCAATCAAGCATGGATGACAAGTATCTGACGGCCACTCATCTTGCAATGACTTCAGCACATGTACCACTTTTGTAGAGCCAACCTGTGATGCAGCCCATGAATTAAAGTGACGGGCTACATTCTCAGCGCGGGACAAGGTGCGGTTGTATATGAAGATCTTTCGGCATCCAAGACGAAGCATGGCATAAATGGCAGCACGCCCCATGCCGCCCGCTCCAATTACCAACCCAGCCGTCTTCAACGGACTAATGGCATTACGCGGGGAAAGATTGCGATTCATGCAGGTCATGATTCCAACCCAATCGGTATTCTCACCGTACCAGCCCAGTACGGGCCCCGCCTGATTGCGACGGCTAGCCTGCTCTTGCAGAGGGAACATCGTCCCATCGGCGCGCGCCCGCAAAGGCATAATCGTGTTAATCGCTCCAATTGCCTCTGCGTGTCGACTTTTCGAGGAGAGCTTCTGGAAAATTTGCACCCTCCATGGTTGGACAACACTAGCACCTCCGAAATGCGGGTCTCGGCCCAGCTTGTCTAAAGCCGTGAGAGAGGGAGATTCGGGAATACTGTAGGTGTGGCTCATGCCACAGTGGCGGAAAGCAGCATTGTACATAGCTGGTGAGAGACTGTAGGCCACGCTAGCCCCAAGAATATAAAACTGCAGAGGATCCAGCACATAACTTTGAAACAACGCCTGCACCGCATCGCGTGAAGTAATCAGAGGATCTGCTCTATTGCCCGTGGGGCGCTTAATCGCCGGGTGAGTGACCGAAGTGAGTGTTGAATTGAACACCTGGGATGTTCGTCCAAGGCTGCCTACGTTGTAGGCGATGATAGGCGGATGGTCGCCCGGTAGAGACTGGATTTTGTTTATAAATTTGGCGACAGCCGCATTATCTTCGCGCTCCGCTGCTACTCTGAGAATGCGAACCAGTTGACAACCGAGCTTTTCGGCTTCAAGGTAAAGAGACAGGCACGATTCGTCATCCCACATTACACTGGACGAAGGTTTGAATATATGCTGGCCAATTATCTTGGTCATGCCCCTATTACGACTGGTTTCGACTAACAACGATTTGTCTTGGTCGAGGTCTATCGCCAGGTATTCTACCGCTAGTCGCAAGCCGTGTTCCGCAATCTCGAAATAGAGGCTGCGCAGCTGTGCCGGGGAGAGCGTACCACTGTCAATCCCGGAGGTCGAAGCGTCGATTGAGAAGATAATCGGGGCGCGGGCACTCCTGCGAAGTAAAGAAATCTGCTTGCTCACGGTACTCGCCATTTCTGTATCCCAACGATCCACACAAAGCTCAATGGCGTCGCCCCCTGATTCAAGCTCGCACAAATCAACGCCCTCCTGAAGCATTTCAGAGGATCGAACGAAGATAGCATGTGTGAAGGAACGGTTTTCAGGAGGGGTTTCCAGTAGTACGAAGGGGGAGTCATAACTCGAATGGTTGACATCTGCACCAGTAATAAAACGTACAAATCGAGTGAAGTCCTCTTTGGCTTCTTTGAGCTTGAACGAATACCCAGCTGATCGACGGTCAGGTGTTACTTCGTCGAGTTGAGCTAACACGCTGGAACGGTCCTCGATATTATAGAACTCAAAATTCGAGCACATACGATGCAGGGGGTCTCCTTCACAAAGCAACTTAACAGCCTGATCTTCCAATCCTAGGAGAGTTTGAATGCGGGCCATATCACGAACCACATACACCACAAGATTGGTCACGGAATACAGACGAAGGTACTCCTGCACAGGACGAGTAAGACTCCCCAGGCCGCATTCGATTACGCAGCGCGATCGATGTTTGTCGAGCATCATCTTAAGAATCTCGATATCACGCTTCTGGAACTCCTGGCTCCCAAAGCGCTTAAGGTACTCATGTCGCGTGAGCCCAGTAACTTGCTTGAAATAGTGATCCTCAGTAATGAAGCGTCGTTTCAACGCCGTTGCCGCAACAAAGCCCAACGAACGCTTTCCGCAGCCTCGGATCCCAACCAGTACCAAGGAAGCATCGGGATTGAGGTTACGGTGACACTCGCGGCCTAAGGTCTGAGACATCGTGCCGACAGATGATGCCTGTTAGGCTTGTATATTTGTTGGTAGACTAAATTAGGAACCCACTGGAAGATGAACTGTAAACGGACGTCTGGCAATCCTAACTATTTTCAACGAACAATCATAAGCGGAACCATGATTCAGCTGGGGAGCAGGTTGGCTTAAGATGGTGACCTGAATCCACTACACGAGCTGGATAACGAGATAAGGATGTAGTAGATAATCGGGGCGCATATGCCTTGAGACGATGCAACGATTCACAGTGACCATGCTGTGACTGTGGAAGGAGCCCGTTGCACAGGTGCAGTAGTTGGTGGATATAGCAGCTCCAGAGATTACTCAGTTAGCACTAAGATCGGTCTAAGTGATCGGGTATATCAATACTGATGCGGCAGAGTGTAGAGCTTTGTCGAACGTCACCGCCTTCCCCCAGAACTTCCGGCAAAGGTCTTAGCCGACTCAATCAGGACTCTGATATCACAATCCCAGTTTTCGAGCTCAGTTAAGTATGTGGCTAAACCAGTCCAGAGCTTAAAGGTGCTATTAATCCGACCTCGAGATCTACAGCGGGCACAGCACTATATTCGTGAATTTTTTCCTTCTTCGTCCTCGATAACTAGCTTGAATAATTTGGATTCATTCTTAGGCGTATTCTATTTTGAGAACTGCATGTCTCGCTCGCCATATTCGTAATTTGGTGGGCTTACAATGCCTATTTCAAATCCAGACATTGGATGATTACCGATTCGGGATGCCGTGGCTATGTTGAGTTTAAATCCTTATGGCCCAAATGGCAATCGTCCAATGAGTGATGGATGGTGGTGCTCTATATACTAGTAGATCGCTTATTTCGTACCGTCAAGACAACCACCTGAGTTGTGGGGATTTATAATCCCCACCACTTATACTCCGTGTGTAGTACATATGGAAGAGAAAGATCACCGATTATCGGCAGTTGGAGCGGCCCTTCTTCCTGGTGCAGGACAATCGGGAAATTCCCCGGATAATGTGGCGAAAGGCGCTCTGGATTAGGGGACGGTAGACATTCCAAACCCGTCGTCTTAATCATCAGTAGATATAAAGAATAGTTAAGGATAAACAACAACCCCCATGAGTGAGGCCCCTGATTTTTATTTTTTTTTTATTTGTGAATTTTTTTTATTTACTGTGGGGAAAAGAGAGAGAGAGAGAAAAATAAATAAATAATAATAATTAAAAGACACAGCAATCGTGGGGACTTCATGTGGGGAGAGTAATATCCAGGCTGTCCTGATCAGGAATAGCTCGCAATCCTCCATTGGTATCGGAAGGGTACCGTCGGAAGGGAATCCGTCTCTCAATATCCATCGTTCAATCCACTTCCCGATATTCGCCCCGACGTCTGTCTTTACAAGAGCCGTTGACCACTTCCTGCCTCGGGATGGGTCTGGCCATTTTCGTCTTAGATCTGGAGGGACCAAGGAAACCCAGATGATTGATCATTCAGACTCCTTGAAGTGGCTGTGGTGATAGATTTGACTGCCTGGAACTCTTTCATTTCTTACACTCTTGCTACGTTTTACTTCCCAAGCCCCATATACTACTCACGGGGTATATAAAAAGGAAGGTTATGTGCCCGTGGTATTACTCTTCCCGACGCTATCGAGCTCACTACTGAAAACCCGTCGTTCGCCAACTTCCCGTAAATCTTGCATTTATTGGTCGGTGGTCTCCGATCACTCGTTCTCGCCGCTTCTCCTTCGTCCTGCTCTACATGGCATGTTATTTCCGCCATAAGTAATCCCTCTTCTAATGGATGAGGGCCCCGATCCAAGAGCTCCTCGGCGCAAGAGGGTCTCCAGAGCCTGCGACAGGTGTCGCAGTAAAAAGGTTGGTTGGTCCCTCGGGGTATCGTCGCCCGAGAATTTACTCTTCGTTTCGTTGCTCTGCCATACCATGCCAACAACCTCCCTCCCCCAAATTCATCACTTTCACTGCCTTCTAGGATTTTACTGGGGAATCTCCTTAGATTGATTCATACTGTTACTCAGTGCAATATTTGTAAGATGACATCGAATCTGACGCGATGACAATGTACTTTAGGACAAATGCGACGGCCTGCGTCCCGCTTGCTCCGCGTGTCAGGCTTCAGGCCAGACATGCTCATACGATCCTCATGCAAAAAAGCGCGGACTTCCTGAGGGTTATGTCCGTGGTTTGGAAAAGCTCTGGGCTCTTTCGATATGTAATATTGAGGGCTTTGAAGACACAATGCTCTCATTGTTGGGCACCACAGCCGAGTCGGCAGGCCGGAGAGATAGGCTTATGCGCCTCTGGGGCGATGATGGCGCATCGGAAACGCTCCATGAATCCTGGAAGACAAGCCGCCTCTATGGAGCTCTTGAAAAAATGTTGTCAAGTTCCGATACACTGACGTTACAGAGTTCCGGCAAGCGCCCCCGAGAGGAACAAGAAGCTTCAGGGAATGAATGGGGGTTTCGCATAGATCGCGGCCAAAATCCTCTACCTTCTGACGGCCCTCGTGTTGTGGAACCCTCCGCTTCTTCTCCTCGCGCTAAAAGAAGTCGATTAGCCCTTCCAACTGCTAGTCAATCCGCCTCCCTTACCACTACCAATGGTTGTCCTGACTTACAACTACCGCCTCAAACCTCGCAATTATTGGACATATATTTTGCTGTCACCCATTCCTGGTTCCCGATCGTAGCAAAACACAATATCCTTCGGGCATCTTACCTCTACGCAACAGCGCCGGTGTCCATTACGCAGGCGGCTTCAGGATCTGGCGACCATGCTGCGCTGTGGGCCCTCATCAGTTATACAACCTCGCAATCACGGACAAATCCGCAGAATGGGTCATCCAAGCTGCTTGCTAAAACCAAGGAGTATTATGCGGTTGCCTGGCGCTTGATTCCTTCGGAAGTGGAGCATTATGAGCTTGGGCATGTGCAGGCACTTCTCCTCTTGGTGTTGGTGAACATCGGACTCGAGAAATGGGCTGCCGCCTGGCTGCTGACGGGTCAGGCAGTCCGCATGGCTATTTCTATGGGTCTTGGCACAACTACAGATGTTCGACGATCTGATGAATTGAGGCAAGGCAAAGCAGTCTTTCTTGGGTGTTTTGTTATCGACTCGTTGATATCATTTCGTCTGTCTCGAAGACCGTACATGCAGTCACGGGATCTTGCCTCTGTGGGCTTGTTAGAAGAAGACGGCTTGGAAGAATGGAACTCATGGGCGGATGTTCTACCATCCGCCACAGCGGGGCAGGCGAAGAATCCCCCCCGGCGTGGCCCTCTTCTCGCCCTAAGTTGCTTCAACCGCCTAGTTGAGCTGGCTAGTGTTTTGAACAAGATTGCTCAAGATACTGCAGTCCGACATAACACACACGCTTTTGCGCAGCAGCTAGTGCTGGAGCTCAAGCAATGGGACGATCGCCTGCCGCTAGGATGCCGGCTTATTGGCCCCGAAAGTATATATCCAGAACGGCACTCGACTTTGCTCCCGCATCAGACATATTTGGGTTTAACCTACATAGCCACACTGCTATGGCTTTATTTGCGCATTGCTCCCCATGAACTCGGGCTGCACCGTTCACAACGGCCTGCTATCGAGGGCGCTAAGAAACTACTATATAGAGCTTTACCAATGATATCACAGCATCTTGATAACTTCCGTATCTGCGGCCTGCCGCCAATATTCGAGGTTTCCTTGCATACAATTTCCAAACAAGCATTTACATTACGCAATAATATCGAATCCGACGCTTTCCCTTTTGAACGATGGGCTGAAGCGCTTCTTCAGCGGACGAAGGAGCTCTCCCCCTGCTGGCCTGTTTATCGTTCGTTGACCACAAGTCTTGAGCAATGGTGTCGCTTAAAGGAGTTTACAGCCCATTCGCTGGCCACTTTCCCAAAATCAAGAGACAACTTACCGACAGTTACCCCCGATGGGCCTACCAAACCATATGCGTCCGATATCACGGAAGGTTGCCGAGGTACAGATGGCGAGGCATCTATGCAACGCGTCAGGGTAAACAACTCACACGTGATGGATTACGACTATACCTCTTCAATTCTGGGGATCAGTATTCCAGTGGATGGGCAATATATGACACCGAGAGACACAAAAATGGAGAATACGGACCCCTCGAGGGATACACCGCTTCAACCGCAGTACCAACAGATGAACCAAGTAACGACGCTCCCGGACAAGTCCAACCCTTCAAATAGCCTCGATGCGCTACTTCAACCTGCACATCACAATCCGCCTACACCCGACTCTTCAGTATCGAACACAATAATGTCCGGTATGAACCCTATTAATGACCATTCTCTGTCTTCCGCAAACACGATGGACCTTAGCGCTGGAACTTCGGGTACCCCTGAGCGCCAAATCTCAAATAGCGATCTAGATTCTATCTTCAAAGATCTCGCATATCTTGATACCACTGAATGGGCCACCAGTCGCGAAGCAGGTTTGAAAGATTTTGGCTTCCTCGATGACTCTACCTTTCAGGCCTTCTGTCATGATCCGGATCGTCTTGCGGGTCCTCAACCTTTAGTTCACCCCCCTTCGATCGCAGATATTTGGCCGCCGCCGGGTTTCTTCCCAGAGACGTTTCAAGAAGCCTCTGAAGATGCGATGGAAAGTTAAGACTTCGAGCTCTCTCCGTCTCGGTGGGGTAACTTAAGTCTACTGGGAGTACATTCCCTTCGATATTCATCTCCGCCTTGGCCGAGCCATGTCAGTGTTGCTCATCATTTTTCACATTACGACGGTCGCAGCCCGCGAAATCGTTTCCTGGTATACTAGTATAGTCTCAAGATACCCATTGGTGAGTGTCTCATTTTTCTCATTATCCTAATTACAGCAAAGTAACGTACTCATCCAATACCAAGCTTATTACATTGTAGACCCAGAAACCCTGATACCCTGTATTGCATGTAACATAACATATGGCTGTCATCGACATGCCTATACAAGGATTTGCGACAACTTGAACTTACTAGTAGGAAGTTGCT